TGAATTGGCAATTTCTGTTACTTTAGAATTCAACTGCAACACAAAGAAATTAATCATCTGTCATTAAAAATAATCAAATACTAATAAAAATAAATTGTTAGTATGTTGATTATAATTGCTTTGACTATAATATATAATATACCTGATTTATGAAACTGTGTATAGTGTAGCCAATTTGACCCATCAGCTTCTCTGAGCGCTCAGGATCTAAGCATGGTAGGATCGAGCTTAGACTACTGTTGTGGCTGTTTTGTTGAAAATCTTCCAAAGCCGAACATGTATCTTCTGCAAAACTGTGTAGCAACAACAAATTTGAGAAACATTCACATACTTGAATACACATGTTAGTACCATTAGTTAGTATTCATGTCATAATTTTGGGTGGATCACAAACACACCACGTCGGTATGTCACGGTACTGAAACACCACGTCAATTTGTCATGTGGGGTTTAGGGTTTAGAGATCATATATACTTGAGTTCTTTCTAAAATGAGAAAAGAAGGACAAGGAAAATTGTTACTCACTTGTGAAGGAAGAAATCGAAGCCAGTCAAAACCCAAATCAGAGTTGTTAATATCCAGCAAAGAAAGATTACACTGAAAAGAAAGAAAAAAGAAAGTCCATGTAGCATAGTCCAATAAAGAATTAACAAGAAGAGCAAGAAGGCTGAAAAGAAATCTTACACAACTAGTCCTGGGTACCAATGCAGCAAGAGGAGAACTGACCAAAGCAGCAATTCATCATTAGTTAATATTATATATATTAAGAGCAAGAAAAATCATAATAAAAGAAATTTACCTAATGCCGAAACCAACAACACCAAGTTGACAGCTACAACCACAAGATGCACCACGTATCTAGAACACACACGCAAAAAGCAGAATATCTTAAATGTAACCTTAGTAAAATTTTCGAATTAGAAATGCTAATCAAAATTTAATATGGTAGCTCCCGGCTGTTAGAGGACGTATGTTTCGAATTCAAATGTCATAGACAAGAGTTGTTGAATGCGAAAAAATATGACAGAAGATTACTTACGGGGTTTGAATAACTCGATCAATTGTACGCCCATTTTTGTCCAAAAAAAGTTGAATATTTTGTGAGTCTTTTCCAAGTTGGCGGGATGTCACGTTAAAGCTCATAGCCAAGGCTGGATCATAAGGCAGCAAAAGGTATTGCATATGTCGCATTGCGTTTGTTACTTTTCTGATGGTTCTTCGAGCATTTTGAGCCTGGCTCAATATGGCTCCCTTCAATTTATCCGTTGTCTTCATAGATCTTTGGTTTTCTACCAGCGCCAAACTTGATGCAACTCTTCAATTTAACAACCAAGTATGCATGTTAGATAGATGTCCTCTGTCTAAATCAATAAATTTACTTATTTATTACGAAGACATTGTCCTTTGAGACTCTAATTGGAGATGTGAGGTTGCTACGTGGTAAGTGGCAAAATATCAAGTTTAAATATTGCATGATGTTCTATTGGTGACTGTATGTGTTCAAAGTTAATAAGTACTTTTTATTTATTATGCACATGTGTCACCTTTTAACTAGACCTCAATGTGACAAGAACAACTCTACTAAAGTAAATGCATAAATTTTTGCTTAAATTGCCGGACTCAATTTCTTCAAATCGTGGAACCAAACCGACCCATGGCTTTGAAAAAAAACAAGGGTTGACCGGACCATTAGACCTACAATCATGCATGAAATGAAATATTGAAATTAACAGTGATACACTTACATGGCTAGAATTGTGAAGAGAAGGGCGAGCATGAAGATGAAGATGAAGATGAAGTGACTGTCCAAGAAGTCTTTAATGGGGCAAGTACTCCTAATGCTGGAATTCCTCAAGAAGGCTATGCAAATCATAAATACAAGCCCACATATCAACCAAACTCCCGCAATTACATATCCATGCACTCCTGTAAATGCCGCAGACTGGAAAATATGAGAAAAACACACTATAAGAAATCCCATTTTCTTTACAAGTTCAATTTTCCTCTTTTTTTCATTTTCTTTACTAGAACCCCCCGAACTCTATATACATATACGTGAGGTGATGTTCTCTTATTAGACGATCAAACATATTATGTTATCAAATTGTTAATCTATTTATCAAGATTACTACGAATAATGCTCGATGCTAGCTAGACTAAATATCTAAGAGAACATTATTGATCGAGTATAATTAATTAAGAAGGATGATGGGTAGGAACTTACAGCCCAGTAATGCTTGTTTTTCAAATCGTAGCCTCCATTGTAAGACTTTAAGTGGCGCAAAGGATCAGGTCTCTTGAAGCTGCTCTGCTCCCCAAAAACAACCCATGTTGGTGAAAACACAGACGTTGAAACCAAGAACACAACAAAGGGTACAAGAACTCCATTATTGGAGATAAACATGACCCAAACAAAATTAATAAGCTGGTCTAATTAAATTTGGTGCAAGATGAAATGGATTAAAAAAAATACAAAACGATCTTGCCTCCGATCATATGAATTGAAATTAAATCTTTTTGGTAGCTTTTAGAGGGAGAAAGGTGGTGTTATGTTGGTGTGACTTAGTGAGTAAGGTAAGAATAGCTTGTGGCCATGGTTTTTGCGGAAAAAGAACAAATGCGTTAGCAAGAGAGGGAGGTAACGAATCATGGGGCGATATTTATGGTTCTCTAGAGTAGAGAAAATTGACCATCTTTTTAGTGCTTCAATTTTCTCATGTCTATCTTTCTGCCTAAGCCTCTCTTTTCGCAAAGGATGACTTCTGGATCGAGGGACTTGGCCTTTTATGCTTCCTTTTTTTTTTTAGCATTTGCATTTGCATGTTTACAAATTACATGTTTCCCATGCAAATTTCTTGGGTGTGGCAGAACGTTATTGGTGAATTCAAGTTTAGTTTAAATATGATAAAAGGACCTAGATGGGCTATCATATAAATTTTAAAAAAGAGAACTTTTAGACGGTCTTATCTTTGATCGTTTCTGAAAGCAGACGTGAGTTAGGTCAGTTGTCCAGAATAGGGAGCCCATCCCCTTTATCCAAAAAAGAAAGAGGAGTGTACGTGGACTAAATGAAAAATGTGGGCCCCAATTGAAGTATCCTCATCCCACAGGAATGTATTTGAAATAATTCTCCCTTTATATAAGGCAATGCCTTGGTTTGGTGGGTTAAGTTATCAACTCAAGGGTACAAGAGTTAGACGTATGGCGGGGTTTAGGGTATGAATTATTGAAGGGGCGCAGCATGAGCATGTCAAGTGACATGGGTCGTGTTACGGCAAAGTATCTGATCCATCAATCAAACATGGCATGACATGAGCACAAAATAAATGGACCTGAGACACCAAGAAAACTTGAGTATATTAATATCTCATAAAACATAAACAATTTACATGTGGTTCGATATCACACACACAAGAGTACTGCAGGCATAAAGTACTCACAAACCCAATTATCACCCGAAAGAGCAAACAATAAAACAAAGAGGATCAATTTGGCTGACTATGCTTGGTTGGTTTGGTGGAACATTCTCACTCCCGGAAAAAGGGGAAGCTTCCTTTTTGTGTATGAGAAGGGTGGTGTTCAGGCAAACGAAAAAAAGAAGAAAGCTTTGTCATGGTTAATATGTCATTTTCCTCAAAGACGGATATTCCCTTGGAATTTTACACAACAATAGTCTTCGACTCTTCGCTCTTTAAAGGTATGACGCAGTTAGTTATGTCACCATTAGGCAATGTCTAACTGGTTATTGAAAGGCCCTTGCTTGAGCTGGTTCTGACTTTTGCTTTTAGGAACTCCACAAAAAATGTGCATCAAATTGAGATAAAAGGGTCATAAAAGGGTCATGTCCAAACCATATAAAGAAGTAATATGCATAATGAGGATAAATAAGTAAATATGGTTTGTTGTGAGTCGTTGATGCATTATGAGATTCACTTATAGCCGCCATAATCATGTTGACAATTGTCCTTAATATTTCTCTATGGACATATAACGTGATGAAGATAAGGAAGCATTAAATTTAAGCATTGGGATAGAAAGCACTTAGCTCATTATTTTGGCTTTTAATAAGATCCATGAATTTGGAATATATAGTTTGGCTTTTAATAAATTTCATGTATTTGGAATACTTAAGAGTTCTCAATGTATGGGATGAGAGATTAAGACTTTAAATAATTGTATGCATAGACTTCTCAAATCAGTTGTTGTTGAGAATTGAAATTGAAATTAAAGAGAATGTTCTCTCATCTTTTGCTCATAATGCGGGTTTGAGTGTTTATTCTGTCTTTTTGCCTAGTTCCGAGTATTCTGAGACTAAATGGGACTTGGTGATTTGTGGTTCGTGTTTTCCAACATCTTTTTGCTCGAGTACCACTGCATCATAACTCCTCCAAGATGCTCAGTTATATGCACCTCTCATTTTCCTTCCTCGTGCTACACCAGTACTAGTCATATGATTCTGTTCACAATGGCTGTTTTATTTTTTTGGTCAAGGTTCATAATGGCTGTTGATGTAACTACTAAACCAGTCATCAAATTTGTAATTCCTTTTACTTAGATCAACTAATCAAATAATGATGCACATCAAATTTGTGTATGAATTTGGTTCGTTAGTCAAGAAGTGCTTTTCTAACAGCACACATGCCTCAAAAGGTGGACAGGGGCTGTTTTATTTTTTTGGTCAAGGTTCATAATGGCTGCTGATGTAACTACTAAACCAGTCATCAAATTTGTAATTCCTTTTACTTAGATCAACTAATCAAATAATCATGCACATCAAATTTGTGTATGAATTTGGTTCGTTAGTCAAGAAAGGCTTTTCTAACAGCACACATGCCTCAAAAGGTGGACAGGTTGAACCCTAAGTCTCCACCTTATCTTTTACTCTTGAGTGAAAGCCTTTCATTTTATATTTCGTGAGGCAGGTGAACTAGTCAATGTGAAACTCCTTATTCATTTCTCACTCCCTTTCAGCCAGTCTATATTGTTCATGTATCTGCACACACACACACACACACACACATATATACATATGGTACTGAGTAAACACTAAAACCCCAACTGTATTGGAGACTTTTTGTTTTGAAGAAGAAAAAAAATGAAGGTGGCTGAGTTTAGCTTTGGTGGTGGTGGTCTTGGCTACAAGGAGATGAGGAGATTTGGCTTGCAAGTTCTCCATGGAAGATGGTTCATGGTTTTTGCTTCAATGTTGATCTTGTCAGTGGCTGGAGCAACATACATGTTTGGCCTCTACTCCACTGACATCAAAACATCTCTAGGCTATGGCCAAACAACAGTCAATTTGCTGAGCTTCTTCAAGGACTTGGGGGGCAATGTTGGTGTCATAGCCGGCCTCATCAGAGTTCACAGCTCCGTGGGTGGTCCTGTTAATCGGTGCGGTCATGAACTATTTCGGGCACTTCATGATATGGCTAGCAGTGACAGGCTGAACGTCAAAGCCCCAGGTGTGGCAGATGTGTTTGTACATTTGCATAGGTGGAAATTCTCAGACATTTTCAAACACTGGTGCTGTAGTGAGTTGTGTTCAGAATTTCCCGGAAAGTAGAGGCAGTCTTTTGGGGCTCTTGAAGGGACTTGTTGGCCTAAGTGGTGCAATTATTTCATAGCTCTACTCTGCTTTCTATGGTGGCAACTCAAAGGCTCTTATCTTGTTGATTGGTTGGCTTCCAGCTACTGTTTCGATGTTGTTTCTTCCAATAATCCGATTGTTGAAGGTTGTAATGAGCTCAGGGTCTTCTACAATCTTCTCTACGTTACTCTTGGCTTAGCTGGGTTTCTCATGTTTTTCATTATCATAGAACATAAGCTGAGATTTTCAAGAATTGGGTACATTGGAAGTGCTTCAGTCGTGCTCGTGTTATCTTTCTTCCCCTCACCGTTGTTATTTTTGAAGAATTCAAACTCTGGAAGAGCAAAATGAGAGCATTGAATGATCAATCTCAGCTCAAAGTAGTAGCTGAGAATCCAGCTCCTCCTGTTCAAGTGGCCCTGCCACCTGTTGCAGTACCACCATCTCTACAAAGCGAGCAGAAGCCAAGTTCTTGCTTGAAAAATGTTTTCAACGCACCGGACAGAGGTGAGGACTACACCATATTGCAAGCAGTTTTCAGCATTGACATGTTGATCTTGTTCATTGTTATAAACTGTGGTGCTGGTGGGACGTCTTATCTTCTGAATGTCAAAGTGGCTGGTAATTTATATGATGCAGAGGCCTTGAAGCAATTGGAAGCTTTGGGTAGGGTTAGGAAAGCAGGGGAGGATTTGACTTGTGAAGGAGTGAATTGTTACAAATTGGCCTTCATTATAATGGCTGCAGTGGCTTTGTTTGGAAGCCTTGTTTCAATTATTTTGGTGATTAGGACAAGGAAATTTTATAGAGGTGATATTCACAAAAAGTTCAGAGAGGCAGCTGAATCTGATGTAGCTGCTTCAAGTGGCACGGCGGTGCCTTTGACAGAAATAGAGGCCGAAGCAGCTGTTGCTGCTGCTGCTGCTTCTCAAAGTTCAACCTCCTCAGCAGCACCACAAGGATCAGAGACCAACTTAGGGTAGGGGAAAACAATGAGGTAGCTAATTGATTGCTCTGTGAGTGGATGATTGCTTGTTACCATAATTGCTCAGAATATTCTTGTAATTTTCTATGGAAACCATTTATCAAGGAAAAATCTTGATCTCTCTGTTATATTTCAGCAAATATTTGTTTCTTTTTCTTCAAACCTTATCATTCAGATCATTAATATGTTTTTAAGTGACAGAGTAATTACCTTTCACCGACAGTCATTTTACAGTTTGAATACCATGTACTACATAAAACGGATTGCTGGGTTAATTGGAAAATACTTGCCTCCTTTCCTGAAAGTAGGAGCTCCTATTTTCCTGCCAATCACATTTTAATATGTGTGTATAGATTTTTCTTTTTATGTTTTTGCATATGTGTCAAATTGTGATTTACAGAAAGTATAAATGCTTCCTTACAGTGAAGGGAAGGAAGGAAGCAATATCCGGGTTAATTGATTAGCAAAAAAATTGTGATTTGTGGGGTGATAGATAGGTGTACATGAATCTGTCCCATTCGTGTAGCAAAAAAATTTTGTAGCCCATACAGCCCACAACATAAATCCATCTCTAGTCATGGGGTTTGAACCTAAGATCACTGGTTCGTAAGTCAAGACTAACTTACTCATGTTTTGAATTTCAAATACCACTTTAAACCATTGTAAGTTTTAAATATATTTGAATGAAAATGCAAGGGTATTATAAGAAAATTGAACAAATTTTAATTCCTACATTGTCCAAACTAAATATGGGAATGAGAATCCTATTTTCCGGCATTCCAGACATGAAAATGAAAATCTTCCATTCTTATCTCTTTGAATTAGATATGAGAGTTTTATCTCCAAAAAATTCATTATG